CTTAAGGACACAAATTCTGCTAGCCAGTGTTTCAGTGTGGCTTAGCAGGCATATCTTAGGGGCCTGTGCATGCAGCTTCAGTTCAGACAGGGCACACTATATTTTAAACAAATTCTGCTACACTACAACTGTGGGAATAATTTTTGCATAGTTAAAGCTATAGGGATGCTTTCTGACCAGAATGGGGACTTTCAAAAGAAAACTTGCCAAGACTCCTGACTAGGCACCTGTTTCAGAAAAGGGGTGAATTTCTGTGTATTGGACTATGCTTTGCATTTACAAGTCATCCAGGAATGTTAGAGCTTCACTAAGTTTGAAAACAGTTTGGTATTTTCTCTCAGGTCTTTTAATAGACTATTAACATTCTTAGGTACAGGGGAGTACACAAAATAAAATTAAACTCAAAATTCTAATGTTTGTACTGTTGAGGTTGATTTTCACTAAATTTAGTCAGGCTTCCAACAAATTCTGACTTAAATGACCAAGTTTTTGTATTGAACTTACTTTTCTGAAACTTGTTAAAGGAGATTTTGTATGTCTGTAAAATTTTCCAAAGGCATAAACAAATCACACAGGCTTCAAAATGATTTTGGAAATGACAATATAAAAGCTCTCTTACTTCAAAAATTTTATCAGGCAAAAATCCTCTGGCCTTTCACTCCTCACATTGTGTCTCATTTCAAGAAACCAGGTAATTTTGTTGTCCTGATTGATCTTTGGTGCATATTTCATTCCTACATCATCATTCCAATAGGGGGTATCAAATATAGCAAATCCACCATTAGAAACCAGTTACTTCTCCCAAAACTTTTTTTTGCATCAAAGGGCCCCAAAAGGGGTTAAATGGATAACCAACATGTTTAAAAAAGGGTGGATTTTTTCAAACCAGTCAATTAAATAATGGTGGATTTGGTTATATTTGATACACCCTAATATTTTTCTTTTGATTCATCAAATTCAGCCAATGAACTGTAATTTTGTATTGATAACTTACAATTACTGATGATGGTGTTACTAACTTCCCACAGGTACAAATCCAACCTTGGTAGCAATTGAGGCCCAGCTACCAACAATATTTCCAAAGATAGCTTTGGATTTCAGTTCACATATTCAACTTGGAGGAGCCACTGACACACCCTACATATCATGCAGTCAATTATTTTATTCTTGGCTACAAGTACATTGATTTCTCAAGTATGGGGCTTATCACAAGTATTCCAAATTGGCCCAAAAAATTATATTCTCTTTGATGCCAACTTTGATGCTAAGGATGGGGAGGTTGTTTCTATTCACCTTGTAAGACAGGAAGGTGCATTTTCAAAAAATGAAACAGATACTTTTATACCTTTCAAAAATGAAGGTCCCGAAACCTTGCACATCCGAAATGAGGAAGATGAATTTAAATTGCTCCCAGGAAAAACAAGACACATGAAATTCAATGCTCAAAACAAATATTTTATAGCAACTAAAGTTGATAACACTGAGTTTACCCATCACATTTTTCATACAATCAAGGGCACGTGGAACTTAAGCAAACGTGAAAGATAGTACATGAGATAAAACAGATTCAGATTGAGGCCTAGCCTAATGGGTTGAAGTTTGTCTTCTCATACCTGAGCCCCATTTTCCATTCTGTATTTTATTTTCTAAATACATTATCTTCATTTATTCCAACTTTCAGATATATACAATCATTGAATTTGTATTCACCTCACTAAAGTCTGTATGTATTAACTACTCACAAGCTACATCTAGCCATAGTACCCTGACTTGGAGGGCTTATCATCTCTTACTCAAGCAGTGTTTCCACTTTGAGTTTGCCTGATTCCTTTTTTGGTGTGATCCATTGTAAATGTTTGTCTCTACCTTGTTCTATTCAATTCTCTTCAGCAAAAATTTAGCCACACCGCACACACGTACTGGTAGAGTACTTATGCTAGTCTGTTACAAGCAATTTATCATTATTGGTCCTTTTTATTCCTTTTTAATTTCTTGAACTCGTTCAACAAGATAAATTGTCCTCAATTCCCATCCTTTATTTCTGGGGGCTGGGTTAATCAAGTACCAAACCCCTGGAAGGTCCTGAGGACCCTCTGCAGACCGTCTCAGGATGTCCCCTCCCCCTATAATTTTTTCCGCACAGGCTTGCAAGTTGTTCTTCCAAACTTCAGCGGGTTTGGGAGTCAGACCCCCAAACAATTTAATTAAATAAAAAAAATTGCCAATTGATTTGGGAGTCAATATCCAAGACTGAGCAGGGGTTGGGGAGTCAGTGACTTAAAAAGGGCCCCCAATGGCCAGGAGGATTCCTCCTGGTGTAAGACTCAAAAATTGATTGTGAAAACCATTTTGCTGAATGGAGAAGGGGATGTTAGTTGCAAGCTCTGCCCATCTATACTATCAGAAAAAAGGCCACCAATCTTAGCTTGGCTATTTTATACATTGTGATCTAGATAATTTTGAGATGAAGCTGCCAATTGATATGTGTATTTGTATTTTTTTTTCTTCTATCTTTCTGTGGTGCTATCTTCCACTCTACTTGTCATTTTTACCTTATTTTCTTCAAGCATAACTTGGGGGGTAGATGATTTATCTCTCTTTTTTCACTGTCTTTTCTTCTCTTTTCTAATTGACTGGCTTTTGGGGATTTTGTTTTTTTTGTTTTTTTGATTATAGGATTAAACTCAAACTTAAATAACTGTTAATGTAACCATCAGGAGTTGTATACCTCAATGGATAATACAGTGCCAGGTATCGAGGTGTGCATCTTGATTGACTGATATGTGATTGGTATCTTACTAGTCACCCAGGTGAATATACCCTGGGCTGGTTTTTGTGTACTTGTGGCACAGGGGGGTCAATGGCAGTTTGGTCCCATGGTATGAAGTTTGCCATTGGTTTTCATTCTTATTTATCTTGGCTAGATTGGTGCACCACCACCAATGTCTTCTCCATACAATAAAGATGAAAAAAAAATTATGTTGTTAAACTGGGGTTGACTGATGCATTTGTAAGGCTCACAGTAAAAAAGTTCAACTTGAATTTCCACCTGGAGACTGAGCTCTGGATGAATTATGTTGTGATTGATTTCATTGCTTTTCATTCTTCCTGCTCACAATATCACTCTTTCAAATTTTGACATATGATTGGATCAATATTAGAACTTCCCCACCAAGCATTTTTTTGTAAATTTTGCAAAATAGCAGGGGGTATCAAATATAACCAAATCCACAATTATTTAGGGTCTTAGTTAAAGGAATCCCAGAAATTGGAGTTCCGACTCCCAAATTTCTGGGATGTCAAGAGGACCATCTACGGAAAGTCCTCAGGACATCAAACCCCAAAATTGGGAGTCGGAACTCCAAAACCTTCAAAAGGTTTGGGAGTCGTTCCCCTAACAAAAAAATAATAAAAATAATAAAAAATGATAAAAAAGAAATAAATATGTATATGGTCTCAACGGCCAAGAGGAATACCCCTCGGCCGCTGAGAGTGTATCCTCTCAACGGCAGAGAGGAATCCCTCTTGGCCGCTGAGAGTGTATTCTCTCAACGGCCAAGAGGAACCCCTCTTGGCCGCTGAGAGTGTATTCTCTCAACAGCCAAGAGGAACCCCTCTTGGCCGCTGAGAGTGTATGCTCTCAACGCCCAAGAGGGATTCCTCTTGGCTACTAAGAGTGTACAACTCTTGGCGGCCGAGAGGGATTCCTCTTGGTCGCAGAGAGGGTACAACTCTTGGCGGGCAAGAGGGATTCCTCTCAGCTGCTCTCGGCCGCTGAGAGTTGTACACTCTCTGCGACCAAGAGGGATTCCTCTCAACCGCAGCTCTCTGTGACCAAGAGGAATCCCTCTCGGCCGCCAAGAGTCGTACACTCTCAGCAGCCGAGAGGAATCTCTTGACTGTTGAGAGCATACACTCTCAGTAAGGATGATAATTGGGCCGGGTGTACAATGGGCCACCGGTTCGGGCCAATCTTTTGATAGAATTACTTACTTAGGCCCGGGCCCGAGTTGACCCAAATAAATGTCGGGCCCACTTGGGTGTACTATGGGGCCGAGGCAGCCGGCTGACCTGATATGAGCGCCACGGGTGTAATCACGTCGAGCTGGTTATAAATCAGTCTCGCGGGGAGGAACCCTCCCGGCCTCAAGACTCCATAGCCATTCGTGGGCTAGGAGGGGTTCCTCCCAGCCCATAAAGAATTTTTTTTGTTTTCTATTTTCACAGGCCTCAAGCCCCTGGGCTATCCCATAGGACCCAGGCCTGGGTCCTATGGGATAGCCCAGTTTGTATATAAAATTACATATCCAAACTCCCACACTCCCCTTCTGAGGGGAGTGTGGGAGTTTGGATATGTACTTTTATATACATACTGGGCTATCCCATAGGACCCAGGCCTGGGTCCTATGGGATAGCCCAGGGGATTGAGGCCTGTGAAAATAAAAAACAAAAAAAATTCTTTAGGGCTGGGAGGAACCCCTCCCAGCCCACGAATGGCTATGGAGTCTTGAGGCCGGGAGGGTTCCTCCCGGCGAGCCGGTTTTTAAACAAGCTCGTTGGAAGGGATTCCTTCCGACAAGCTGGGCTGTGTACCACCTCGGAACTAACATAAACCCATGAACCCGAGCACGTTGAACACGTTCCGACCATCCAAGAAGGGCGCATACCAGCCCTCCTGCAAGTTCCTCAGCCAGACTAAGAAGGTCGTAAGACTGATCAGCAACAACCAGATCATGATCAATAGGATCATCAAGTTATACTGATACCGACCCTTCCGCTCCGTCTCATTTCTTACCTTCTCGCCGAATAACTACAGAAGATTCATCAAAACTCAATTAGCCCATTCTCCAACCAGTTGGTTGCTGTTCCCACACTTGGAAGGACAGATGGACCAAGATGAGAGAGAGGAAATGGCTTACGCTGGACTGGGATTGAGAGATGGATAGTAAACACTGAAAGGTGGTGATGAGTTGCAAGATGGTCAGGACGATGAATGCGAAATGGTAAGGAGCATAGAACACCGTGAAGACAGCCAAGGTGGCCAAGAAGGGCAGACTTCGGTAATCGATTAATGTCGATCGATCTGCAGAAAGGCTATTGGGAGAAGAAGGCCTACATCCATCAAATCAACATAACGTACATTGAGATTAGTCATCAGATCGTCCAACCCAAACTAGTTACACGGCCACTTACTGTTCCTGTTTCCGTGACCGACTGGGGCTCAGATCCACCGAGCCGACAAGCTTAATCCACAGCAACCCAGACACCCTGAGGAGGATCTCCAAAAGGACATAGACCGCAACCAGCCAACCAAGCGAGACGAGTACCAAGAGCCAATCCAAGAGAAAGAAAGAAGCCTGAGAGACGCCGAGGAGCAGATCGCCAACCAGACGAGCGGGTCGATCAGCGCGAAGCTAGACGATCCAGTCTGGAGCCTCCGGAGAGTAGATCATCTGGAGGGCAAACGATGGATCAGTGAGCCCCGCCGATGACCAGTA